CCCAGGTGCGCCCCCGCCCCGGGGGGAGGGCGGGGGGCGGCGGCGGGCGGCCCCCCTCACCCGGTGCCCGCAGGACGAGGAGAGCCCCGAGCGGACGCTGACCGACGACGACATCGCCGCCGCCGCGGAGATCTGGGCACAGGGACCCGCCGCGCTGCCCCCGCCCCGGCAGCAGCCCACGCCCGTGTGAGTGTGCCAGGCGGTGCTCACCTGTGTGAGTGTGTGTGAGTGTGCCAGGTGCTGCTCACCTGTGTGTGAGTGTGCCAGGCAGTGCCCACCTGAGTGTGTGAGTGTGTGTGAGTGTGCCAGGTGCTGCTCACCTGTGTGAGTGTGAGTGTGTGTGTGCCAGGCAGTGCCCACCTGAGTGTGTGAGTGTGTGAGTGTGCCAGGCAGTGCCCATCTGTGTGAGTGTGTGTGTGAGTGTGCCAGGCGGTGCCCACCTGTGTGAGTGTGTGCCAGGCAGTGCTCACCTGTGTAAGTGTATGTGAGTGTGAGTGTGCCAGGCGGTGCCCACCTGTGTGAGTGTGTGAGTGTGTGAGTGTGCCAGGTGGTACTCACCTGTGTGAGTGTGCCCAGGTGGTGCTCACCTGTGTGAGTGTGTGCCAGGCGGTGGCCATCTGTGTGAGTGTCCCAGGAGGTGCTCACCTGTGTGTGAGTGTCTGTGTGTGCCCAGTGGTGCTCACCTGTGTGAGTGTGCCAGGTGCTGCTCACCTGAGTGTGTGAGTGAGTGTGCCAGATGGTGCTAACTGTGTGTGTGTGTGCCCAGGTGGCACACACCTGTGTGTGTGTGCCAGGTGCTGCTCAGCTGTGTGTGTGTGCCCAGGTGGGACTCACCTGTGTGAGTGTGTACCCAGGTGGCACTGGGGGTGCAGGGGCACACTGCTCTGACCCCCCCTCCCGGCAGGTTACCTGTGGAGGGCGAGAGGAACGTGCTGATCACCAGCGCGCTGCCCTACGTCAACAACGTCCCTCACCTGGGCAACATCATCGGCTGCGTGCTCAGCGCCGACACCTTCGCCAGGTGAGGCTGCGGGGGCTGCGGGTGGGACAGCTGGGACAGGTGTGACAGGTGTGGCACGTGTTACAGGTGTGGCAGGTGTGCATTTGGTGGGGCTGTGCTACCTGCATGGGTGCGACAGGTGTGCATCTGGAGGGGTGTGTTGTTTGCACAGGTGTTACAGGTGTGCATCTGGAGGGGTGTGTTGTTTGCACAGGTGTTACAGGTGTGCATCTGGAGGGGTGTGTTGTTTGCACAGGTGTTACAGGTGTGCATCTGGAGGGGTGTGTTGTTTGCACAGGTGTTACAGGTGTGCATCTGGAGGGGTGTGTTAGGCGGTGCCCACCTGTGTGTGTGAGTGTGCCAGGCAGTGCTCACCTGTGTGAGAGCGTGTGCCAGGTGGTGCTCACCTGTGTGTGTGAGTGTGTGTGTGAGTGTGCCAGGCAGTGCTCACCTGTGTGAGAGCGTGTGCCAGGTGGTGCTCACCTGTGTGAGTGTGTGCCAGGCGGTGGCCATCTGTGTGAGTGTCCCAGGAGGTGCTCACCTGTGTGTGAGTGTCTGTGTGTGCCCAGTGGTGCTCACCTGTGTGAGTGTGCCAGGTGCTGCTCACCTGAGTGTGTGAGTGAGTGTGTCAGGCAGTGCTCACCTGTGTGAGAGTGTGAGTGTGCCAGGCAGTGCCCATCAGTGTGTGTGTGCCCAGGTGGCACACGCCTGTGTGTGTATGCCAGGTGGCACACACCTGTGTGAGTGTGCCAGGTGCTGCTCACCTGAGTGTGTGAGTGAGTGTGCCAGATGGTGCTAACTGTGTGTGTGTGTGCCCAGGTGGCACACACCTGTGTGTGTGTGCCAGGTGCTGCTCAGCTGTGTGTGTGTGCCCAGGTGGGACTCACCTGTGTGAGTGTGTACCCAGGTGGCACTGGGGGTGCAGGGGCACACTGCTCTGACCCCCCCTCCCGGCAGGTTACCTGTGGAGGGCGAGAGGAACGTGCTGATCACCAGCGCGCTGCCCTACGTCAACAACGTCCCTCACCTGGGCAACATCATCGGCTGCGTGCTCAGCGCCGACACCTTCGCCAGGTGAGGCTGCGGGGGCTGCGGGTGGGACAGCTGGGACAGGTGTGACAGGTGTGGCACGTGTTACAGGTGTGGCAGGTGTGCATTTGGTGGGGCTGTGCTACCTGCATGGGTGCGACAGGTGTGCATCTGGAGGGGTGTGTTGTTTGCACAGGTGTTACAGGTGTGCATCTGGAGGGGTGTGTTGTTTGCACAGGTGTTACAGGTGTGCATCTGGAGGGGTGTGTTGTTTGCACAGGTGTTACAGGTGTGCATCTGGAGGGCGGTGCTGTCTGCACACCTGTGCAAATGTGACAGGTGTGCACCCTGTGCAGGTGTGACAGGTGCCCACACACAGGTGTGACAGGTGCCCCACAGGTCACAGCTGCTCAGCCCAGCTGTGCCAGATGCTGAGCCCAGGTATGCCTGGTGCTTAGCCCAGGTGTGTGCAGTGCTCAGCCCAGCTCTGCCAGCTGCTCAGCCCAGCTGTGCCCGGCCCTGAGCCCAGGTGTGCCTGGTGCCCACACACAGGTGTGCCTGGTGCCAAGCCCAGCTGTGCCAGCTGCTCAGCCCCAGGTGTGCCCAGCTGTGCCCCATGCTGAGCCCAGCTGTGCCCGGCACTGAGCCCAGGTGTGCCCGGCGCTGTGCCCAGCTGTGCCTCGTGCCAAGCCCAGCTGTGCCCGGCACCAAGCCCAGCTGTGCCCAGTGCCAAGCCCAGCTGTGCCCGGCGCTGTGCCCAGCTGTGCCCGGCACTGAGCCCAGGTGTGCCCTGTGCTCAGCCCAGCTGTGCCCGGTGCCAAGCCCAGGTGTGCCCGGCTCTGAGCCCAGCTGTGCCCCGTGCCAAGCCCAGCTGTGCCCGGCTCTGAGCCCAGCTGTGCCCAGGTACTGCCGCCTGCGGCGCTGGAACACGCTGTTCGTGTGCGGCACGGACGAGTACGGCACGGCCACGGAGACGCGCGCGCTGCAGGAGGGGCTGAGCCCCCAGGAGCTCTGCGACCGCTACCACGCCCTGCACGCCGACATCTACAGCTGGTTCCACATCTCCTTCGACCACTTCGGCCGCACCACCACGCCCCAGCAGACCAGGTGAGCTCCTGGGGCCAGGTGAGCCCCTGAGGGCCAGGTGAGGCCCCAGACCAGGTGAGCCCCTAAGAACCAGATGAGCCCCCAGATCAGGTGAGCCCCTGGGGGCCAGGTGAGCCCCTAAGAACCAGATGAGCCCCCAGACCAGGTGAGCCCCTGGGGCCAGGTGGGCCCCTGGGGGCCAGGTGAGGCCCCAGACCAGGTGAGCCCCTGGGGGCCAGGTGAGGCCCTAAGAACCAGATGAGCCCCCAGACCAGGTGAGCCCCTGAGGGCCAGGTGAGCCCCTGGGGGCCAGGTGAGGCCCCAGACTAGGTGAGCCCCTAGACCAGGTGAACCCTTAAGGGCCAGGCAAGGCTCCAGACCAGGTGAGGCCCCAGACCAGGTGAGCTGCTATGGGTGAGGTGAGCCCCAGCAGACCAGGTGAGCTCCTAAGGGGCAAGTGAGGCCCCAGACTTGGTGAGCCCTTCTGGGCCAGGTGAACCCCTGGGGGCCAGGTGAGCCCCTGGGGGCCAGGTGAGGCCCCAGACCAGGTGAGGTGCTATGGGTGACGTGAGCCCCAGCAGACCAGGTGAGCTCCTAAGGGGCAAGTGAGGCCCCAGACTTGGTGAGCCCTTCTGGGCCAGGTGAACCCCTGGGGAACCAGTTGCGCCCCTAGACCAGGTGAGCCCCCAGACCAGGTGAGGCCCTGCAGGCCAGGTAAGGCCCTGGGGGCCAGGTGAGCCCCTGGGGAACCAGTTGAGCCCTAGACCAGGTGAGCCCCCAGACCAGGTGAGGCCCTGCAGGCCAGGTAAGGCCCTGGGGGCCAGGTGAGCCAATAAGGGCCATGTGAGCTCCTGTGGGCCAGTTGAGGCCCCAGACTAGGTGAGCCCCTAGACCAGGTGAACCCCTAAGGGCCAGGTAAGGCCCCAGACCAGGTGAGGCCCTAGACCAGGTGAGCCCCTCTAGACCAGGTGAGCTAATGCAGACCAGCTGAGCCCCTGTGGGCCAGGTGAGCCATGAGACCAGGTAAGCCTCTAGACCAGGTGAGCCCCTCTAGACCAGGTGAGCCCCACCTGCGCTGGTACCTGTGCTAGTGTGGCCTGCCCTCCGTGCCCAGGATCGCCCAGGACATCTTCCAGCGGCTGCTGGCGCGCGGCTTCCTGCTGCAGGACACGCTGGAGCAGCTGCGCTGCGAGAGCTGCGGCCGCTACCTGGCCGACCGCTTCGTGGAGGGCACGTGTCCCTTCTGCGGCTACGCCGAGGCGCGCGGCGACCAGTGCGACAAGTGCGGCAAGCTCATCAACGCCGTGGAGCTGCAGGTGGGCCCGCAGCCCGGGAGCCCTGCACCTGGGGGGCCCCACTTCCCTCATGGCTGTGGAGCTCCCTAACTCCACCTGCACTCCTTGGCCCACCTGCAGGGACCCCCCACTCCTGCTTTAGGGACCCCCCACTTCCCCTCACCTCTGGGGACCTCCCCAACTCACCCTGGGCCTTCCCCTCCCACTGTCACTAACATCCCTTGCCCCACCTGTGGGGACCCCCCAGCTCCACCTTTAGGGACCTCCACTTCACCTTTGGGGCCCCCCCCTTCTCCTCACCTTTGTGCACCTCCCTAACTCCACTTTTGCTACTTGCCTCACCTGTGGGGACCTCCCAATCCTTCTTTGGGGCCCCCCACTTCCCCTCACCTTTAGAGGACCTCCCCAAATCACCCTGAGCCTTCCCCTCCCACTTTCACCTCTTGCCTCACCTGTAACTCCACCTTTGGGGACCTCCACTTCACCTTTGGGGACCCCCCCCTTCCTCTCATCTCTGTGTACCTCCCTAACTCCACTTCCGCTACTTGCCTCACCTGTGGGGACCCCCCACTCCTTCTTTGGGGACCCCTCAGCTCTGGGGACCTCCCTAACTCACCCTGGGCCTTCCCCTCCCACTTTTACCTCTTGCCCCACCTGTGGGGACCCCCTAGCTCCACCTTTAGGGACGTCCACTTCACCTTTGGGGCCCCCCCCTTCTTCTCACCTTTGTGCACCTCCCTAACTCCACTTTTGCTACTTGCCTCACCTGTGGGGACCTCCCAATCCTTCTTTGGGGCCCCCCACTTCCCCTCACCTTTAGAGGACCTCCCCAAATCACCCTGAGCCTTCCCCTCCCACTTTCACCTCTTGCCTCACCTGTAGGGACCCCCCAGCTCCACCTTTGGGGACCCCCCACTCCTCTGGGGACCCCCCACTTCCCCTCACCTCTGGGATCCTCCCTAACTCACCCTGGGCCTCCCCCTCCCACTTTTGCCCCTTGCCCCACCTGTGGGGACCCCCCACTTCCCCTCACCTCTGTGCCCCTCCCTAACTCCACATCCACCCCTTGCCCCACCTGTGGGGACCCCCACTCCACCTCTGGGGATCCCCCCACCCTGGGGCCCCCCCGTTTTCCCCCAGAACCCCCAGTGCAAGCTGTGCCGTGGGACCCCGGTGGTGACGCCCACCCAGCACCTGTTCCTGGACCTGCCCAAGGTGAGTCCCGGGGATTTACCTCTTGCCCCACCTGTGGGGACCCCCTAGCTCCACCTTTAGGGACGTCCACTTCACCTTTGGGGCCCCCCCCTTCTTCTCACCTTTGTGCACCTCCCTAACTCCACTTTTCCTACTTGCCTCACCTTTGGGGACCCCCCACTCCTCTGGGAACGCCCCACTTCCCCTCACCTCTGGGAACCTCCCTAACTCACCCTGGGCCTCCCCCTCCCGCTTTTGCCCCTTGCCCCACCTGTGGGGACCCCCCACTTCCCCTCACCTCTGTGCACCTCCCTAACTCCACATCCACCCCTTGCCCCACCTGTGGGGACCCCCACTCCACCTCTGGGGATCCCCCCACCCTGGGGCCCCCCCGTTTTCCCCCAGAACCCCCAGTGCAAGCTGTGCCGTGGGACCCCGGTGGTGACGCCCACCCAGCACCTGTTCCTGGACCTGCCCAAGGTGAGTCCCGGGGAGCAGCGCGGGGGCACGGCCCCGCGGTGGCCCCGGTGTGCCAGCTGTGTGTCCCGCAGCTGGAGGGGCGGCTGGAGGCGTGGCTGGAGCGCAGCTGGGCGCAGGGGGAGTGGACGGCCAACGCGCGGCACATCACGCGCTCCTGGCTGCGCGACGGGCTGCGGCCGCGCTGCATCACCCGCGACCTCTCCTGGGGCACCCCGGTGCCCCTCGACGGCTTCCGTGACAAGGTGGGTGCCCCCCGTGGCCCCGGGCGCCCCAGCTGGGCGCTGCCTGCTGGCCTCACCTGCTCAGGTGTGCCTTCCCCCAGGTGTTCTACGTGTGGTTCGACGCTCCCATCGGGTACCTGTCCATCACGGCCAACTACACCGAGCAGTGGGAGCGGTGGTGGAAGAACCCCCAGCAGGTGCGAGGAGGGAGGGGCTGTGCAGGTGGGGGCGGAGCAGGACGCTCGGCTGACGTCTCACCTGTCCCACTTACCTGCCAGGTGGAGCTCTACAACTTCATGGCCAAGGACAACGTCCCCTTCCACAGCGTCGTGTTCCCCTGCTCGCTGCTGGGCGCCGACGACAACTACACCCTGGTGAATCACCTGATCGCCACAGGTGCGGCCGGGTGTGGGGAGCCCAGGTGGGAGGGGACCCCAGGTGTGAGGGGACCCCAGGTGTGGGGAGCCCCAGGTGTGGGGAGCCCAGGTGTGGGGGAACCTCAGGTGTGGGGGGTCCTCAGCTGTGAGGGGTGCCTGGCTGTGGCAGTCCCCAGGTGTGTGGGGTCCCCAGGTGTTGGGGTCCCCAGGTGTGAGCGGTCCCCACGCTCCCCCTGCCATGCCTGGGGCCGTTACCTGCCTGGGAGGGGCCAGCTCCCCACGGTGGGGCTCCCCTGTCCCCAGAGTACCTGAACTACGAGGACGGGAAGTTCTCCAAGAGCCGGGGCGTGGGCGTGTTCGGGGACATGGCCAAGGACACCGGCATCCCGGCCGACGTCTGGCGCTTCTACCTGCTCTACGTGCGGCCCGAGGGCCAGGACAGCGCCTTCTGCTGGGCCGACCTCCTGCTCAAGAACAACTCCGAGCTGCTCAACAACCTGGGCAACTTCATCAACAGGTCAGGGACGCTTCGGGGGGAGGGCTGGGCCACAGCTGTGCTCACGCCTGTCCCCAGACTGAGCCCACCTGTGGGCTGTGCTCACACCTGTCCTCAGCCTGTCCCCAGGTTGTGCTCACAGCTGTCCCCAAACTGTCCCCAGCCTGTCCCCAGGTTGTACTCACACCTGTAGTCCCTGTCCCCAAGGCTTTGCTCACACCTGTCTGGGGGAGGGCTGGGCCACAGCTCTGCTCACGCCTGTCCCCAGACTGACCCCACCTGTGGGCTGTGCTCACACCTGTCCTCAGCCTGTCCCCAGGTTGTGCTCACAGCTGTCCCCAAACTGTCCCCAGCCTGTCCCCAGGTTGTACTCACACCTGTAGTCCCTGTCCCCAAGGCTTTGCTCACACCTGTCCCCAAACTGTCCCTAGGTTGGGCTCACACCTGTCCCCAGCCTGTCCCTAGGTTGGGCTCACACCTGTCCCTGGGCTGTGCTCACAACTATCCCCAAGCTGTCCCCAGGCTGTGCTCATACCTGTCCCCACCTGTCCCCAGCCTGTCCCTAGGTTGGGCTTACACCTGTCCCTGGGCTGTGCTCACAGCTGTCCCCACCTGTCCCCAGGCTGTGCTCATACCTGTCCCCAGGCTGTGCTCACAGCTGTCCCCACCTGTCCCCAGGCTGTGCTCACAGCTGTCCCCACCTGTCCCCAGGGCTGGCATGTTCGTGTGCAAGTTCTTTGGGGGCACCGTGCCCCCCATGGCGCTCACGGCCGAGGACCAGCGGCTTGTGGCCCGGGTCACGCTGGAGATGCGCCAGTACCACCAGCTGATGGAGAAAGTCCGGTGGGTGCTGGGGGTCCCAGACCTCGGGGTGGGGTGCAGAGCCTGCCCTGCAGGTGCTCAGCCCCCCCGTGCCCCCCCAGCATCCGCGACGCGCTCAGGTGCGTGCTCAGCATCTCCCGCCACGGCAACCAGTACATCCAGGTGAACGAGCCCTGGAAGCGCATCAAGGGCGACGACAGGGACAGGTGGGCATGGGTGGGGCACCTGGGCACAGCGAGGGGGCACAGCCACGATCTGAGGGGGTACAGGGTGACTTGGAGGGGTCCCCACTCCTGGCTCTTGTCAGGGTGGGGCTGGCACCGATGGGGGCACCGGGCAGGGATGGAGGGGGGACAGGAGTGGGGGGACACTGGAAGGTCCCTGGTGACAGGCACTGAGAGTGGCAGGGCACGGGGATGTCCCTGATGGCCCCTCCCACAGGCAGTGACCAGGGAGGGGGGCAAGGGTGGGACACAGGGGACACAAGGGGCACTGAGGCGTTGTCCCCAGGCAGCACAGGCACGTGGCCTTGGGGTCTGTGGTCAGGGAGGGTCACAGAGGTGTCACAAATCATGTCGCCACCCCAGGCAGCACAGGACACGGGGGTCACTGAGCAGGGAGGGTCACAGAGGTGTCACGGAGCGTGTCCCCACCCCAGGCAGTGAGGGACATGGGAGGGTCAGTGGTCAGGGAGGGTCACAGAGGTGTCACCCAGCATGTCCCCACCCAGGGGGTCACAGAGGTGTCACCAATTGTGTCCCCACACCAAGGGATCACTGAGCATGTCCCTGCCCCAGGCAGTGAAGGACATGGGAGGGTCAGTGGTCAGGGAGGGTCACAGAGGTGTCACGGAGCGTGTCCCCGCCCCCGGGGTCACAGAGGTGTCACGGAGCGTGTCCCCGCCCCCGGGGGTCACAGAGGTGTCACGGAGCGTGTCCCCGGCCCTAGGGCGGGGTCACAGAGGTGTCACGGAGCGTGTCCCCGCCCCCGGGGTCACAGAGGTGTCACCGAGCGTGTCCCCGCCCCCGGGGTCACAGAGGTGTCACGGAGCGTGTCCCCCCGCAGGCAGCGCGCGGGGACGGTGACCGGTGTGGCGGTGAACGTGGCGGCGGCGCTGGCCGCGCTGCTCCAGCCCTTCGTGCCCGGGGTCAGCGCCGCCATCCAGGGCCAGCTGCGCATCCCCCCCGAGCGCTGCGGCCTCGGGCCCGGCCTCACCTGCACCCTGCCCGCCGGGCACCGCGTCGGCACGGTACGGCACGGCCGGGGAGGGCGGGGCAGGGCAGGGCAGGCCCCAGGGTGGCACCCGCAGGTGCTGACCCCAGCTGTGCCCCCTCTGTCCCTGCCGGCGCCAGGTGAGCCCCCTGTTCCAGAAGCTGGAGCCTGAGCAGGTGGAAGCCCTGCGCCAGCGCTTCGGGGGAGGGCAGGTGAGTGGGGGCTCAGGTGCCCCCCAACTTGGGGCACCTGCAGCCCCACCCTCTCTGTCCCTCCCCTCCCCATTCCCAGCCCAAAGGTGCTGCTGCAGAGCCCCAGGTGAGCTGCACCTGCCTGGAAGAGGAGTGAGGGGGGCTTGGCCCATCTCTTCCTCTTCCAGGCCAAACAGGCCCCCCCGGCCTCAGCCCCCCCTGCACCCCCCAACGCCTCTGCAGCTCCAGGTGACCCCAAACTGATCCAGGAGCTGACGGAGCAGGTGGCCAAGCAGGTGAGGGGGCACAGGGCATGGGGCACACACTGTCATGCCTTTAACCCCCCCAAATCCTCAGCACACCCTCAAATCCTTCCTCCCACCCGTCCAGGGCAACCTGGTGAGGCAGCTGAAGGCTGCCCAGGTGGAGAAGGCCCAGGTGGACGCCCAGGTGGCCAAACTGCTGGAGCTGAAGCAGCAGCTGGCGCTGGCCGAAGGCCGCAGCCCCGAGGTCTCCAAGGGCAAGCGGAAGAAGTGACCCCAGCACCACCTGGGACGCCCGAGGAGCTCCAGTAACCAAACTGGGCCGTGCTGGTTGTGGTCGGACGTGTGTAATAAACGAAAAGATCTGTACAAGGGCGTGGAGCAGCTGCATCCACTTGTCTGTCCGTCTGTCCGTGGGGCTGTCCCGCGCTCGCGGGGCAGCACAGTCTGTCCCGGCAGGACCTACGCCTGCCGCAGGTTGACGATGCGGTCGATGAGCGCGGCGCGGGTGCGCTGCACCTCGCCGCTGAGCCGCTGGATCTCGGCGCGGAGCCGCTCGTTGTGCGCCGTCAGCTCCCGCACCCGCCGCT